CATTCTTGAATGGGCCACTAGAAGAAGAAGTTTATATGAGACAACCTCCAGGTTTTGTGAAGGAAGGAGAGGAGCAGAAAGTTTACAGATTAAATAAGGCTTTATACGGGCTTAGATAGGCGCCTCGTGCATGGAATAAACATATCGATTCATTGCTTATCAGACTTGGATTTCACAAATGTTTAGTAGAGTTTGGAATCTATGTAAAGTCTGTTACGCATAAAAGCATATTAATAGTTTGCTTGTATGTAGATGACTTGATCATGACTGGAAACTCAGAATGTGAGATCGAAGACTTTAAAAGGAGAATGAAAGTAGATTTGAGATGACTGATCTCGGTGATCTCAGTTACTTTCTGGGGTTGGAATTCTTACAAACTGCAAATGGAATATTACTCTATCAAAAAAGATTCATTAACGAAATCTTGAAGAGATTTAACATGGTGAACTGTAATAGTGTTCCAATTCCAGTCATAGCTAACTTGAAGTTAACAGATCAAGCGGATGAGAAGAAAGTGGATGCAACTCTGTACAAACAGGTGTAGGATCACTCAGGTACGTTTGTAACAGTAGACCCTATATTAGCTATGGAGTTGAATTGGTGAGTAGATTTATGAATGAACCAAGGCTATCACACTTATCAGCAGCCAAACACATTCTAAGATATTTGAAAGGAACAGCAGATTTTGGTCTCTTCTTTCCTAAAATGTCAAGCAACGTTGAGGGAGTTTTGGAGGTCTGATGTGACTCTGATTGGTGTGGTGATAAAGTTGATAGGAGGAGTACGTTTGGCTATCTCTTCAAGTACATGGGAGCACCAATTTCATGGTGCTCTAAGAAGCAAAGTGTGGTGGCACTTTCGTCTTGCGAAGCAGAATATATAGCATCTTCAGAAACAGCTTGTCAATGTGTGTGGATGGAAACACTCTTTGATGATTTGAAACTAGAGTGTAGAAAACCAGTACAACTTCTAGTAGATAACAAATCTGCTATTAGTTTATCCAAGAATCCAGTTTTCCATGGAAAAAGTAAACACATTGAGACAAAATTTCATTTTTTAAGGGACCAAGTCAGCAAAGGAAGATTGGAACTAATACACTGTTCTACAGAAGATCAAATAGCTGATATTTTTACCAAAGCTTTGAGACAAAACAGATTTGAAAAATTGAGAGACTTATTAGCGGTAAAATCTATGAAAAATTTGGATTAAGGGGTTGTGTTGAATTAATCCAATATTCTTCCTAACTGTAATAACTGCCATGCAGTTAGATAGTTTTCATTTCAGCTTTATATACCCTTGTATATACTTCTTCTATGAATAAGAAAGAAAATTATCAGTTTCTCTTTTATACTCTTTTCTTTACGTTAAAGTGTTAGTGCTAAGACTTTCAAATCTTTTAAATTCATATATATAACTCCATCAAAATTCATACTACAAAATCTTAGTCATAAAAGTCTTTAATTGTGATAAGCAATAACATTCCTCAACATATCCAAGTCCCTAAAATTATTAGAAAATGCTGTGTTGTTGTAGGTCCTGAAATTATTACTCGTTCATTTTAAATAATATCATCTCAAAATATTCAAGTCCCTGGAATTATTACTTATTGATTTTTACAGATCCAAGTTAGTGTTTCCGATAACAAATATTGTATTGTTGTAGGTCCTGAAGTGGATAGGTTAGCAGCAATGGCAGGAAAGTACAAAGTACATCTAGTGATGGGTGTGATAGAGAGGGATGGCTACACACTCTATTGTACCGTTCTATTCTTTGATTCTCAAGGTCATTACCTAGGAAAGCACAGGAAAATCATGCCAACTGCATTGGAGCGCATTATCTGGGGATTTGGGGATGGATCAACCATTCCAGTGTTTGAAACTCCCATTGGAAAGATAGGTGCTGCCATTTGTTGGGAGAACAGAATGCCACTGTTAAGAACAGCGATGTATGCCAAAGGTTGGATTTTTTATCTTCTTGTTACACGCTGTGTTGTGTGAGAAACATTAGAAAAGAGCATTCTTGTACGGGGCTGGGTTTTTTCACCAACTATAGTAGTGGAAAAGTTTTTACACTTTCATCTAATTAGAAATATTTTTTGCTATTATAATTAAGATAGCTATTATAAAAATTAACGAAATTACCATTACGATTTGTTATTAGATGATAGAGTGAAAGACTTTTACACTGGAAGCACGTGTATTATTTATTCTTATGCTTTTGCTAAGTCTATGGGGACTTGTCGATGTAGAAATGTTGGACTGTTTAAAAATAGAGAAAATAATCTATCCATTGACAGTATAAAGAATCTTTACTCTGTCATCCAATAACAAAATGTTATGTATGATAAGTTTGCTTATTGTTACACTAATTTGATTAAAAAGACATAACTACTGTGATTTTCTATCGGTTATATAGTGAAGGTTTTGCACACTGAGTGCATAGAAATTAAACTTTAAAAAGTATGACTTTAAAAGAATCTATTACAACAGTGAATATTTTTTTTATCAAACGACAGTTCATGATTAGATGAAATTTGTATACCATCAACGCATTCTAATTAAAATCTTCATGCAATAGGTATAGAGATATATTGTGCTCCCACAGCTGATGCCAGGGATGTGTGGCAAGCATCAATGACCCACATTTCACTTGAAGGTGGATGTTTTGTTTTGTCAGCAAACCAGTTCTGTAGGAGAAAGGATTACCCTCCCCCTCCAGAGTATGTTTTTGCTGGCACAGAAGAGGACCTGACACCGGATTCTGTTGTTTGTGCTGGGGGCAGTGTCATTATATCACCGTCAGGGGCTGTTCTGGCAGGACCAAATTATGATGGGGAGGCACTGATCTCAGCAGACCTTGGTATGTCATATTTATTCTCGATGCTTCCATTGTCTTAAAATGCTCAGAAGAGAGTATTACTTTCTTTGATGGGGACCAAGGGTTTTAAAGGTACCAAAAGAAAACAGCAAAGTGGGTATGATAATTTAGAAAGGATGCTAGTTAGGCAATATATAAATACCAATATCTATAACAATAATAAAGTATTTTACCTCTTTTAATACTATAAATCTAACTGCATGTGTGTCTTTCTCCTATTATAAATGAAGGGTTTGAGGAATTAAGATGGCAGTGAGATTGATTGTAACTAACTGATCATTCTGTTGTAGAAGGGACTTTCCCTTGGAAGAGTTATTTATTACTTAGTAATCATTAATTCTAGAATCATCCCTAGTCTTTCACTTTTTTTCCCTCAAACTCTGATTCTGGAACTTGTTGAGGTTGATTTTGTTTGGTTCAGATATTCTTTGTTGAATCACTTTCATTGTCTTTGGTTATTATAAGATGTCATTAACATTGTGATTCTTGAAATTTTGCTCAGATCTTGGAGAAATAGCAAGAGCTAAGTTCGACTTTGATGTGGTTGGACACTATTCAAGGCCAGAAGTACTTAGTTTGACTGTAAAGGACCATCCAACGAACCCAGTTACTTTTACATCAACATCAAAAAATAGTGAAGACAACACCAAGTAGTGTTTTTATTTCATGTTCAGCAACTTCTGAACCTACAATTCTGGACCTGTCCACATAGCTTGTATGTTAACAATTCGCTTCATCAATGAAAGATTATTTGGGCTTTAGCTTTGTACAATAAAAAGGCTTGCATTTTGGTTTGGTTTATATTGGAACCCATTTGCTATTTTTTACATAAATCAAGAAGCCAAAACTATGGGTTTGCAAAATTCAGTTTTAAGAAAAACACTTAACTGAATCATTTTAACCAGTTGTGTTCAAAGAGAACCCTTTTTATAAAGATAGTTTGGCTCAAACCAAGTAATTTTTCACAAAAATGGCTTGGTTCAAATTGGTTTAGTTCTAAAGTAGTATTATTTGGTACGATTATATAGTAATGCAGATTATTAAGCTTATGAAAGAAAGTTCACCAAAGTTCAAGCATAATTTGATGACAGACAAAGAAAGTACGTGTACAGATGGAAAGTGGAGTTGGCTTTCTCAGAACCTAAATGCTGTTATTTTTCACGAAGCTTTTCTTTTTACCATAGTTGGCCATCTACTAGTTATATGTTTGATATTAAATGTTGTTTAAATTTTAAAAAATGGGTTCTGTTTTTATTAAGTTGTTGACACGCGTATTCCTTCAATTATTCTGGTAGAACACAAGCATGTTACTGAACAGATTCCTTTCAGTACCTACAATTCTTTGATCCATATAAAGTACCATGTGGAGATAAATGAAGATGTATATTTTCAAGAAATAGTAGCTCAATTAATATAAACAGTAGAAGGTGCTAGGAACCCATTAATATTGGAAACGTCTGTTTTGCAAAAAGTTAAAGCCGTTGTTGTTAAATAATATCCAAAATGGCCCACCACACGATGGTTGATTCAAAGTTCCAAACAGAGGCAAGATAGAGTACAGAATTCAAATATTTGAATTGTTGGAGTTGGAAGTATCCAATGATAATGTTATCCGTCACGCTGTCACTGCCAGTACTGTTTCATTTACATCTCAAACATATAATTGTGTCCCCAGAATAGTTTTTAGTAGCAGACTCTTTGTTCTTATCTCATTTGTTTTGAGGTCAAGCCGAAAAGCCTCCATTATTTCCTTTTGGAAATATAAGGAAAATCAAATTCCATGTGTGGCAATGACATTGTTTGCCAGCAATTTCCGTCCTGGTGGATTTAACAACTTGTTCAAATTAGATTCTTTCTTTCTCTTTTATAGATATGTCGGCTGAATATTCAAATAGGAAGTTTTACTTGTGCATCATATTCCAATAAAACACCTAGTAACTATAGTATGTGAATTTATTTAATATGTACAAGTTTCTTGCTTTGGCTTTAACAATTATCTCAAACAACAATGATATAAGCTCCTTGAACATATTTAACTCATCAAAGACAGCATTTACAGTTTAGAACAGAAATAGTAGAAGCTATCTATGATAATAAGTTACTCACTACCACTATCAAAAATCTCAACATCCAGATTTTTTTCCTGCAATTTCTTGCTTCAAATTGTCACCCTTCTGGGCAAGAGCTTTTTCCCCTGCTTCTCCATCAGCACACTGCAAAGTTAATAGTAGACCATTTATCTTATCAGAATTAACACATGAGATAGAGTTTTGGAGCACTTTTATAGTCTTATTGCTTTGACTTTCATCATTATCGTCTTGTATCCGAGCTTGTGAGAGAAATTCAATTGACCTATCAGGATCAAAATTATCAGAAACTTCCTGAATATTTATAGAAAAATCCCTCTTCCTACCACTTGAAGTTCCCTTGTTGAAGCAAATACTTCCCCACTGAATTTTCTCGGAGAAAGACTTCCTCCCTATACTTTCTTTGTCAATGGAAAATCTCTTCTCTTGTCCATCATTTTCACAAGCAAAACTCCACTTGTAGCCTTTGCTGTCATCATCCATGTTCAATTCAATTGAATGGAGATCACTGTCATCTGAGTCATCATTTCTTTCATGTCCTACATCATTTTCAACATCTGAATCATCCTCTTTCTCTGCATTTTGGAATCCCCTATAGACATTGTTGAAATAAGACTCAAGATCCTTGATCTTTTTACATTCTGGAGAAACATCCTCATTTTGCCCATCTTTAGTCCTCATATAGTCCTCAAGCTCATTTCGCAGCTTTTCTAGGAAAGCATTCTTCTCCTCAAACTGATACTTAGCCTCTGAAAGCTTCATCTGCACTCTCTCTTCGCGTAAAACATTGGCTAAGTGAAGCATTTCCCTTTCCTTCTCCACCTCCTCCCGAACTTTAGCCGATTCCCTTTTCAGTTCCTCCACCCGTGCTCTATCTTCCCCAATGCCTCTAGCTAGTTCATCACAAATTTGCTCCAGGATCTCCTTTGCACGCTTCTCCCTTTCAAGCTCTTTAGATGCTTTCAAATAGGAAGCTTTGACAGTAGACATTTCTTTAGCAATCTTCTTGTTCAACCGTTCAGTTTGCCTTCTCAACTTCTTCTCCACCGCAAGCTCTTCTGCCACGTGTTTTATGGCATCATGAACCCTTTCTCGTTCTCTTCTTTTCCAAGCAGCCTTCTCTTCTGCAAAATGCTGCATGACATACTCAACATCGTTCTGGTTTGAACGCTGTTCATGGATCAGTTGATCAATTTGGTGGCAAACTCGATCAAGCTCACTCCCCAGAGCCAAGACAAGGGGCATGCTTGATGCTTGCTGCTCTCTAAGGCACATTTGATTTAACACCTTTAGAAGCTTCTTTGTTGTAGATAATCCACTTCTAGCTTCCTTCAGACGGTTCTTAACACCACCAGTGATTTTGCCTCGATTCTTCTCGCTTTTTAACTGATTTTCCACTTCCTGCATTTCAACTTTTCAACATAGTTCAGTTTCATCATTCCCACCAAAAATAAGGAAAAGAACAAAACACCATATGTGTAACAAAACAAAATTACAAATTATTTAATTAATCAGATCTGTATCGAAAGTTTCTTGTTACTACTGTTTCAATTGAAATCAATTCTGAAATCTCTACTCTAGATACAGGAAACCATGTAAAGGACATAAAACAAGGGTTCAAAGTGTATAATAACAGTCTATTGTTTAAACTAGTGATCTCCAATTAAGGAGCTATAAGCTCATCATTGTTACTTGGAAGTTCAAACAATTCATTCATTATAATTTATATTTCAAGACAGAATCCTAGTAAACAATTTAAAAGATCTCATGGGCACAACTTGTATTGATAAGAGGCTTGGGAGAATAACACTTAAAGCTAGTTGTTGTAGTCAGAAAATCCAAGACCTTATAAACCCCACATCTCAGCCACATCCCCACATAACAATTGACAAGAATGAACTACACAACAAAAAGTCTCACATCTCACATCTCACGTCTCACGTCTAACGTCTAGGAGAGCCCAAGGCCTAATAAATTCCGCTCTAAAATCCCACACTTCCAATACTCTAGTCTCATGTCTTGTCTTGTAATTGGATCCCAGCATAATCCATCCTCTTTTCGGTCAATTAAATAAATCCCCCCAGATAAAATAATAAATAAAAATAACCAGAAGAACATTGTGAAAACGATGACCAACCACTATCCTTACCAAATTTCCAATTGGTCTGATAAATTCACTCTTTACCTCAATTAAATTGGCATTGCTATGAGCATCCAGAGCATCCAAACAGTAATCACCCGACAGAAGCTGATGAGAAAACCCTGACACTCTTCTTTTGCAGCTATCCCCTTCAAGCCCCTTCATCCTCTGTACAAACAAAACGAACCCAAAAATCACGCCACATCCAATCATCCAACACAAGGAAAAAACACAACTTCAACACGAATTTACCTCAGAGACAGGACTATGCGATGGATCTGACATCTGTGGCCGCAACAAGCCCGATCTGGACAACCCCGCACCTTTCTCTCTGCCTCTACCCTTCTCCTTGCAGCCTCTCATTTGATCAACCTCGAACTCCTTCTTGACCCTGGAAGGAGGCAAATCATTGATTTCCCAGAGTGTAGCAGCGAGTTTCCTGGCTGACACGGAGAGCTCCTTGTCCTTGGAGGGTAACATGGAGGCAGAAGAATGCAAAGGCTTGGTGTGGTGAGTAGGAAGAGAAGGAGAAGTTGTTTTGGTCTTCCACATGGGAACTGGGGTGCTGGACCCTCCTTTCTTCCCAACCAAAATGGCTCTCTTGAAACGGTATCTTCTTACAAGAGAAGAGGAAGAGGAGGAGGAACAACCTCGTTTCCTAGTCTTGCTGTGGCTCTGTATGAGACCTTCGTCGAGGTTGAAGTTGTTGTTGGTGTTATGACAGGAGGGCATGGTGATGAGAATTGTGTGAAGGAGTTCGAGGTACCCGAAAATCCCGGGTGTGCGAGATTCACATGAGGATTCGGACACGGGTTAAGGGCATGACATGCAGTGTGTAGTGTACTAGTGTGTGTATATGGGAGTGCTAAGTGCACAAAGTTCCTGGGAGCAAGGTGCCAGTTGTGGTCAGCATCATCATCGTCTCTCTTTTTTCAATGCTAAAATAGACATGAGACTATTAGGCCTTGAATTTAGCAAAGTGGGTCATCAAAGATCTTCTTTCTAACTTTCTCCTTATGCTTATTCTTCTTCTTCCACTGTTATTATTTTGAACGGCTAAAGGAGGTTGAGGACCAGGGAAAGTAGGAACATATCCAAAAAATGGAAAGATACGTTTGTGATGGAAAAGAAACTAAACAAACCGAAGAAGAAGCTTTAAGTTGAGTTTGGTGAGAGAAATGGTGGTGTGTGTGAGAGGGAAAGAAAAAGGTGAGGGAAATCCTGTGAGAGGGAAGGATGCACACAGTCCATTGGTCATTGGAAAACCCACTTAAAAAGACGGGAAGAGACAACGTGGCAAACACGTGACCTGCATGTGCTTTCCTCAGGAACGTGCATGTGTTGTGTTCTGTTCTGTTCTGCTGTGTTACATAAAACTTCTAGGTTCAAGGAAACCTCCATGCTTCCAACACTATATATACTAATATAATATTAACACTATTGTTATTATTTAATCATAAATATTTGTATATTAAATAAATTTTTTTAATTTATTGCCCAGGTTTATTGACTTCACTCTCTGCACTGCTTTCATTCATTTCCTCACCCTTTTATTCTGTAATACCATAATATGCATTCTGCATTTAGCACTTAAACCCTGATCACACCTGGAATGTTCTTCAAATTTGTCCATCATTGCACCCTTTTCACGCTATCATGCATCGTTTTCTTCAACTATATTATTTAATCAAAACCTTATTACTTTAATCCCAAAACTCTACGCTAATGTTCCATTATATATTCTCTACATCTGTTTCTCATATTATTTTAACTTTTAAAAAAATTATAACTTGAATGATAATATTACTGTATATCCAAAATTATAATAACTGAGTAAGTTTATAAACATAGAAAAGATTAGTTATTTACTTTTATAATGTCAAATATTTTAGTTCATATTTTCTCTCTTATATTTGGTTGAATAAAAAGATTTTGCTGTCAAAGAATATATTGTTTCTTCCCATTGTGATGAGTGGTTGAAGTTATAAAGATATTATAATCGGAGCAATCCCAATAATTTTGCTGGTATGATTGAAAGATGATTAAGGGTAAGATAAAGTTTAATTATGGTCACATCTGAGCATGTGGAGGGTAGTAGAATATTGATTCATTGAATGCTAAATCATTAGCAGTCATAGGAGTGATTTAATATTGTTTGAACACCAGAAATAATCAACAGATGGAGATAAACCCAACATTACAACCAGATTAAGACAGATTCCCATTGAGTTTAATGAAGAAAAGAAGATGAGATTGTTGAAATATTGGAGATACAACAAAGTGAGGAAGAACAAAAGTGTTACTTTGAAAAAGAAATAGAAAATTAAACATATGTTAACCCTTCTATATGTAAAATGTTATGATCTAGTTTATATAACTAAGTATAGTTTAATCTGATTTGTTGATGTACAGCACATTCTTAATTTTTAATTGCTTCTTCCTTGCGTAGTGCATCCTCGTATACTTTTTTATTCTTAAATTCAATAAATTATTTTGTACATAATTTAAAATGATAATAAATAATATATATTCAATTCTTCCTGATAACTGTATTTAAAAGATATACTGTTAATTAAACTGTGTATAATATTCTTTTTAGAATATAAAATAAGTTGAAAGATTAAAAAATCTAAAAATAAATTAAAAATAAATTAAAATAGTCACTATAATAACAAGAATGAAATATAAAAAATATTTTTATAAAAATATGATTTATTAAGCATTTATTTTTAAAATTAAAATATAGATAATCAAAACAAAAACGAACATGGAGTTCTCAAACTTATTTAAGTTTGTTTTCAATTTCCCCCTCTATATGTATAGTATGTTTATTTTCAATATTATTATGTATATATTATCGTATTTTTTATTATCATTTCTAATTTGATTCTTATATTTGTAAAAATGTATATTATATTATTATATTACATATGGTATATTAATGAATTTTATATTATTTAAATATATATATATATATATATTAATTTATTAATGTTAAAATCGTGATGAAGTAATATGTAAAACAGATAATATATGAGAAATGAATCTAACAATTAAAAATATAAATATAACATCTTATAAATACATGAAAGAAAAAATTAAAAATAAATAAAATGGATAGAATTCGGATTCATAATAATTAGTTGAATAGTTTTAAATTTAATTAAGAACCAAATTTTAAATGGAGAAATTAAGTAATAAGTTTGTTGGTTGGAAAAGAAAATAAGTTGGAGAATGGAGAGTTAGGCGAAAAGAAAGAAGAAAGTACGGAATAATAATTGACGTGGGAGCTTTTGCATCTTAAAACTCTCAAACAATCATGTCAACAAGTGATTGTGGAGCCCAACAAACGGTTGAAGGTGGTTTTAGCATAACAAATCCAACGGTCCTGAAGGAAAGACACAGAATTTGTTGTGTGTGGCTGCCCCCACCAAGGCCATTTTAATTATTTTCATGATTAACTGTTTAAAAATATATGAATTTTCACTAAGAAAAGTTTATTTTAAAATATATATATATATATATATATAATTTAAAGTTGTATTAATGATTTTATTAATAATATATATATTTTTAATTATATTTACTATAGTGATGATATATATTATAGTGAAGAGTAAGATGATATATATATTAATAAAAAGAACAAAATAAATTTATTAAAAATAACAAAATGTAATATTTATTTTATATAACTTAACTTTAAATAACATATATTTTGAAAAAGAGAAAATGTTTGTGATGAAAAAACAAGGGTTTCATTTGGACGTTTGACCCTTATGAGTTGAAGTATGCCATTAATCTTCCTCCCTTCTTCACCCTCCACCTTTTATCCATTCCTTCACTCCGTGAAACCTTCTCTGGGGCAGCAAAACACAGTGCTTCATGGAAGGTTTTTCCTTTCCTTTTACTGCATGCATTGTTTAACCTACACTTTTCATATATAATGGGAGACTAAATGATAAATCAGGTATTTTAATGATAACTTATATTTATGAAGTAATTTAAAGAAACTTACATATTTATTATCATTAAACAATATGTTTCTTGATATAAAAATATTTTTTTTTAATTTTTTATTATAAATTAAGACATAAAAAATGAGTCAAGGAAATATTTTTCTTTTACTCATCTTTAAGTTTTATTTTTTTATAATTATTAGAAAATTATTATCACTTTATTTTCACATTATTCATGTTGAGGTACTAATTTCAAAAAGTACACTTATACATTGTCAGCAACTTTTTTTATATATAACTATTTTATAACTCTCAATAATATAATCTATATCATCAATGAGAATTTTTTGTTAATTACTCCTTTTTGTCATTGTTTAATAAATTATTTATCTTGGATTTTTTTTCCTCTACTACTTTAATCATACAATTTTTTCTTAATTTTTATATGTTAATATAAATTAAAAAATTAAAATATTTTATTTTTCTTTTTATGTCCTAAATCATATATTTTTAACTTTTTTTTCCTCTTTAAACTTTCTCCTATATTTCTATTTGTTTGTCTCTAATAAAATATAATTTTATGATTAAATAAGTTATTAAATGAAAGTTTGGTTGAAAAGAAAATAAAAATAATAATATTATAAATAATTGCTAATCATATAAGAAAAAATTGATAAATTTGTAATAAAAAAATAAAATAATTAATAACGCGAAAGTCTCACTTTTTTTTTTCTAAATAGGTGTGGATGATGTAATTTTTTGAATACATGTATCATTTTCTTTATTTTCAATGTGGATAATTTTTTGTTTGATAATTTATTAAAGTATAGAAAGTAGATGGATAATTATAATTTGATGACAGTTATAAATAGATGAAATAATGAATGTTTAGAGTTGGTGGAGGAATAACTAATAATAGGTTTGACCAGATAAGAGAGTGATTTGGTAAATGGGGAATTTATGGGAAGACAGAAAATTGTTCAAGTTCAAAGTAAAAGAGAAAGCATCTTAATTTGAAGATTGCCGACAAGGTACGCTAGCTAGATGAAACGATTGCAACTTCAATTGCAAAATCTCTTAACTCTTTCTCACCGTCTGTTCCTACAAGACACCACTCACCGCAAACGGAGAAAATATTCATTGTGCTTTCTCTCACTACAACTGCCAAACACTATCCAACGCTGTTTAACCCAAAACTTATCATTAGTTGGTAAAGAATTGGTTCAAAACCTTTCCAATCGATTTGAATGTTTTAGAAATACATTACAAAATATATACTCTTTTATGAGTGGAAGAAAAAAAAAACTCAAATGCTCTGGGAGAAATTGTCTATAACTATTTCTATATTTAAAAAAAAAAACTAAAAAAGAATTTATATACAAATTAATTTAATTAGTAGAGAAGTTTGTGTATTTCATATTTTAAAAAGTTAATAGGAAACACCTTGTCCAAGCTTTATTTGTCGTATGTTTTGTCAATAACTGGGAACTCTTGATTTTTAAAATATTAGCATAATTAAGATGATTTTTTTTTCTCTTGATCAATAACTATGACAATGATAGATTACTGAAACTACAGGGTAGCCTTTGGAAAATTTGCAGGACAAAAAGCAGGGACATTGATGAGGAAGGAGCAAGTACAACAGCAATAATAATATACAACATCATTAAGAAGGCAATATTACACAAATTTCTAAGGGAAAAGGTAGCATGGAGTTATACATCATAGATTGCAATTGCAAGGAACAAAAAGAGAAACAAAAAAGAAAGTAAAAATAGACCATAGGTTTGGAATTCAAAAGTAGTCTTCAGTCCTTCCCTTGAAACCAATTTGCCCAAAAGTGAGACACAGGAACAATCCTAAGTGCCACGTAACCAGCCATAACCTGTCAATGAAGTTTGCCTCCCATTAATTAGTATTATGTCTTGTATTTCCTCAAATGCTTTGACAGTATCACTTTTATTTAATGATAAATTGTTCCCTTACCCAACAGTGGTCCCATGGTCTAGTGGTCAGGACATTGGACTCTGAATCCAGTAACCCGAGTTCAAATCTCGGTGGGACCTTTATCTTTTACCGCTCATAAAGTAAAATTATTTTAATGAGAAGTTCTTATGATATATTTATGGAGAATATAAATAGTATAATAATTCATTAATTTTTTATGGTTAATAATTAAAAACAAGGGTTCTCATCAAATCACTGTTTATTTGACTTGTCAGACAGATTGTTGTGAATGAAAAGAGAAAACATGTAGTAGAGCCATAAGGCTAATTATAACTTCGGCCCAATGAACAAAATGGGCTTATAATGTTAAGCGTTTGCACTCTGAGCCTAAGTTCACTCTTTATATTTTTGTTTTAAAGTTGGGCAAAACTATTATAAATCTTAAATAGCCAAATCAAATTTAACTATTATCATTCATTCATTATCATCTTGTTATCTCGTTCATCAATATAAGTGAAATGAGTATTTGTGAGTCAAAATATTAGTTAATGGGGATATAAAGGCTTTTATTTGCTAAATATATGTTTGGTTCTTTTTTTTAAATTTAATTTTTTAAAATTAGTTCTGCTATTTGGAAAAAAATATTTTTTTATTAAAAAAAAAGATAAAAATATATACAAAGTAAATAGGATGCCACTATTCAGTTTTGTGGATGAAAAAAAATGAATTTGAAAGAAAAAAACCCAGCTAAGTGTTTATTTTAGTTGAATGCTTACAAAATTAAATTGATTTGGCAAAGAACAAAATCTAGATAAAATATTTTATTTTTGTATTTTTCATCAATTAAAATGATAATTTTATATTGAAATGAATTTGTGATTAATAAAACAGTTTTTGAAGTATATAATTTATGTTGAATTATCTTTTTAATAAATAATATAAACATTTAGAATGAACTTTTTTATCTAATGAACTAATATATATATATATATATAAATGTCCTAACTCAAAACTGTCACATCAAATTTTTATTAATGTTTAAAAGCATTCAAATATTCACTTAAAATTATATTGACCAGTATTTTATCACGCTTTTAAATTACTGAACATAAATTCAAACAATCAACAAATTTTCCCTTTCACCAAGGCCCAAGTCACTCATTCAAATTTCATTCTTCTCCCCACTCTCCACCTTTTCTTCATACTAATATGTTTTGTTGCAGCACTGAATTAACAGTTCTTACAATAAACATTCATATAATTTTATTTTACTTTAAAAGAGTTTTATTATATTATTCACAAATTTTCTTATAATATTGAAATCTTATAACAACTCATAGGATAATATTTAAATATTTTGATAATTATTTTTTTATCTGAAATAGACTTTATTCTTGAGAGAGGGTGGAAATGACTAACCAAAACTGGGAAGTAAGAGCAGGAGGAGTGGGGAAGTGAGCAAGCTCAGCTCCAATGCTCTCAAAGAAGAGGCCGGTCAGACTTTTACCGTCGATAGCCGGTATGCTGGAAGGTGCTAACCATCCGATCAACCCAAACCCGATCACACTGTAATCTGCCCGCAGCCAATTCCTCTCGAAGCTTCAATCACCATTCACAAATGTCACCATTCATTCCATTTTCCTTTTTCTTTTAATTTCAAAATTACACAAATTAATCTTTTGTAAGAAATTACCATGTAACCCTCCCACCATTTCCCATTGCCACACCTTGCCTCAAGGGATTCCTAGCACTCACCGCCGGTCTCACGAACCCTGCAACACAAATTACAAAACGAATCATCTCACAGATCATGCTCTTCTCAAATTCTTCATCCTTTCCTATAGTTTCATGTTGAATCGTCCAAAACTACATTGATTTTCTGTAGATATTCTCATATTTGATTTTCTAGTATATACACTGGTTGGTTTGAAATTCTCAACAAACGATTAATATAGCAAGAAAACGATTAATCATACCGGAAGTGAGACGAGATGAGGCGGAGGACAGTGATGCGCCACCCAATCCAGCGACGGTCGCGAAGGAGGTTGTCATTTTGTCTCTGCTCTTAGGATTTAGGTTTGAGATTTTTGGAACGCAGAGAGATTTAGAATCAGAAGTGTGAGCAAGTAGTGGCTACGCTAGTTTTTGGGACTGTTGATATTGTTTTCCAGCAAATGGGTCACTGAATTATATTGGATTTGGATTGCGTTTGCATGGATGCGAACATTACTCAATTACATTGTGCCACGTAGAGTTTATGAGATAAAGTGGGGTCTACATTAATCCCTTCATCCACCCAGAAAAAATATCATCAATGAGGCAACGCCAACTCATGGTCCACGTGGATGAACTTGTGGCATACATTCAATCTTCGAGATTTTTCAATCAGAGGGTGTGTTTCATAAATAATTTAATTACTTATTGTTGATATATTCTTAGTGGTAATAGATACGAATATTATTATTTTATATTATTACTGTTGTTGGCTGCCTCGAGAAGGAAAATAAATCTTTATACATTATTTTAAAAAAAGTACTATACCATTATTAAGTTAAATAGAAGAACTCTGGTTGATTCAATTCATAAAAAAAAATAAAATTGAATTAGTCAATAAAAGTCATTGAGTCAAGTAAATTAGTTTTGTTATTTCATATATTTATTATACATATTTATGTGTATATTATTTTGAATTATAATTTATGAAGTTTATTTTTTTATTAAATAAATTTTAATAAAAAATTTAAGAGTAAAATAATCATATTTAAATATATTATTTAAATAATAAGTTTAAAATAATCAAGGACGAAAAAAAATGAATTTGATTGATCTCCAACGTTCCTAACGGCGAAATTTAAACGGTCAAATTTTGTAAACATTCAGCGGTATAGAACACAAAAATAACCCAATTTCTGAAATGTTTTTCTGCCCCCATTCACACTCTACTCCCAACCAAAAATGGATCCAGAAATTTTGCATAATTAAACAATTTTTCATTTTAAAATTGATGGAGCAATGTTTAAATTATAAATGGTTCCTTTGACTATATTTGAGGCTCTCTTTCTTAATGTGTAACATAACCTGGTAGACCAAATAAGTATGAAGGGGTAAAACCTCAGAATCCAGCAAGGAAGCAACACATGATACAAGCCAACAAAGCTAACAATGAAGAAACAAGATCACGTGCCATCTCCCTCCTAAACTTCCTTTCTCTGCTCTCCTTCATCAAGCACGTGAACTTCTCGAACCTCTCCTTGTCCCTCACGTGATCCACTCTCCTTTTCTCTCCACACTCCATGGCCCTCTGCAGAATCGCCACACCCTCCTTCCCACTCACCTGCCTCCCCTCCGTGTCCTCCATAACCAGATTCACCTCCCTCAACTGCAGCTCCCCTCCCACCTTCCCGCAGCATGTCACCTTCACCACGCACTGCACCCTTTCCCTTGCCATCTCCGCCGCGTAAATCACCTCCACCTCCCGCGTCAGCCAGTTCCGCCGCGCCAACACCGCCCTCCGGCTCGAAACGTTCGCCGCACGCTTCCCTGTGGAGTCCACCATAATCCAGCTTACGCTCAGACTCTCCTCCAGGTGCTTCAACCACTTCTCGTCCTTCCTCGTGAACTTCACCGTCGTCGGAATCATCTACAACAAAAACTAACCATTTAATTATTCCAAATAATATTGTTGATGACCAAACAATCGATACACAATCTAAAAATATCACTATATCACATTATATAAAGAGAATTGATCTTTTCAGAACTCCATAAACAAAACTAATTTTTATTAATATAATAATTATAAAATGATTTAATATAAATTAAATAAATTAAAATTATTATTATTATTATTATTATTATTATAATGCTAGAAGTAAATAACGATTTAATAAAAAAATTATTATAAGTGAATTATTTTTAAAAATTGTCGATTTTAAATTGTCAAAATATCATTGTTTAGTTGGTGAAACAATCATCACCCGAATATTTATACATAATCGTTGAACACTTATTTCAGACAATCATTTTTTCTCGGATAATCATCCTACAATTTTATTTTATAATATAATAATAAATATAAGATTTTTTAAACATTTACTATTATTATTATAATATTATAATCAATTATTAAATAGACGTTCGAGATGATAGAAATGTTAATTAAGATATAATTTGTCATCATTTAAAAAAAAAACAACGTTTACAACACATTATATCACCTACGTTCGTTCTATATAGTTGTAGTATAGGCCACCTAAAAATATTTAAGAAAAAAATGAAAAAAAGGTATAGTATGACAACCCTTTTAAAATAATAATAATAATAACCTTAATAAAATCTTATATTTTCATGTTGATTTGTAAAATATCAGTGTTCATTCAAAAATAATATTAATCCACTTTAAAAAAATTACAAAAAAATAGTTTACATAACAATAACATTAGATAAAAATAATATCACTACGTAATTTAGTTTATTTTTCTAGCTCCACGAAACAATTATAATCACTAAGTACATGATTACGACTATTAATCAAAACATATTTTGATTAATAAAGAATGTGATTACTAACGATTGATTGTAATAAGAGGAGAAGTGACAAAAAATAAAATATCATTTTAATAAATATACCATTCCTTCCTCTTTATATATTTGTTTGGATATTTCTTTATATTAATTATTTTAATTTGTAAATAATAAATGTTATGAACTATTTTTTCTTTTACGTACCAATAACAATTCGAAGAGTCTAGTTAAAAAGATAATAATAATAATATGAATTGAATTTCGATTCTCATGATATTGTTTATACTTAGTCCCTCAATATATAATTTTGGTTTAATTCTTATTTTTCTATATAATTTACTTTATATAAGTCATGTTTGAATCCTAATTATATCACACTTATTTAAATTATCATAAAAATATATAATTATTTAAAATATAAAAAAATGTTAAGTTTTAATTTTTAAAAAAGAATTTAAATATTAAATTCGTAGAAATATAAATAAGGGACTAAAGTTGTAAACGAAAAATTAAAGAGAATGAAATGTATACATTAGCCAAAACCAATAATTCACTACTATTATTCTCTTTCTCTGCATTAATTATTTAAAAGTAATTTTTAAAATATTATAATTGTGATGTAAAAACTCAAAATAATTATCATTTTACTTTTTAGTTTATTATTAGTTATTATTTTTCATCCATACCCTTTATAACTATCAGCATAAATTAAGACTTAAAATTAATCATGTAGTATTACTATTTTCTTTCATCTATTTCCTTTAAGACAACAATAATAACGAGATAGAGCAGTTAAAATTGTCGTATTTAGGCTAGTATTAAAAAAGACGTACTAAAAATATGTTTAACTACCTCGTTGGGTTCAAGCGCGTCCACCCACAGCGGCGAGGAGAGGAACCATTTCTTCTGCGTTTCGACGAGTTTCACGCGCGAGAACACGGGCCTTCCCTGGTAGTATATGTCCACGGCGAAGATAAGTTCCTGCGGCGGCGGTGGCGAGCGGTGGGAATGGAGCGAGAAATTATGGAGGGAAGGGAAGGCGTCGGAGTAGATGGAGCGGTGGCCGCCGGGGAAGGTGGAGATGACGCGGCGGGCGATGGGGTCGTGCAAGGAGGGCCACGTGGCGGTACAGATTTGGCGCCAGAGATCCTCTTGGGTGCAGAGGCGGTGCATGAGGGACGATACGGACGCAGCGGATGCGAGCGTGGCGCCGTCTAGGCGCGTGAGGATGTGAGCGTGGATGATGTCTGGGTGGAGCGTGGCGAGGATTGAAGTGTTCTGGGTTTTATCCGGTGGTGGCGAAGTAGTATCAGCCATCATAGTTGCGTTCCAAATTCTTAGTTTCTTTGTTCAGTTTGTGAGCATAAAAAGAACGTGAAATAGACTCATAGAGTGATGAGGTGTCAAGGAAAATAGGATATGAACGAGGGAAAGTGCTTTGTTCAATACTAAAAACATGAGTTAAGTCAAAGGTGGCTGTCAAAATCCAAGTCAACATTCAACACTTATCATTTACATCTCATTAGCTTAGTTGCGAAACATCGTAGACATTTCATGTGTCACTCTATTTTTATTTCAGAAAAAAAAAAATTTATCTTTTTTTTTAATAATAAAAATAACACTAGAAAAAACTCACAATAAATTAATGTTATGCTTTATGGCCTGCATTTACAAGGAGTGAGAATTAAAAATTTTACACTTTCCAATGAAGATGAGATAAGCTTTTTATTTTATGATTAAAATATAGCTACAATGTTGGGTCGACATGGATTTTTTTTATATTCGGAATACATTGAGTATAGTGCAAATTGAAATTTGTTGCGTGTCAATCTTTATCGGAGATATTTCAATTTTATATAATAAGTACATATTTATATTTTTGGAATGTTTAGTATACTTTGTATCTGTATAATACGTGTCAATCTTAATTTGCGAGGATTTTACCCTAATTTGTTTTTCAATATCTAAGCTTTTATACACTACTAAAATAAATACGTTCTACATCAAATATTTTATCGTTTGATGACAATTATTAGAGAAATGTAAATAAGGCTTTAATAGAAAGTAATATTTTAGGATTATGCAACATGAAATTTAAAGAATTAAAATCAATCACGAGATCGCATTGGAGTGGTAGGTTTCGATGGTTCATAAGTCATAGAACTTAGAATATATTCCAATACGGCGGCTTTGCGAGTAAGTATTCAAAAACCTAATTCCTCTCCCAAAACCATCTAATAACAATTGTCTATTTTGTCTTGTTATTCTATTCGTTAATACAAACACTTAATCAGAATATAATAACGTTATAAACACAATTTATACTTCAATTTAATTATAAATTATCACATAATACATTTATTAACTTATTATCTTATTTTGTACAGTATATGAAACAGACAATTAAATTCTTAATATAATATGACAACAATTTTGAATTCTTATTAGATAGTAATTAATATAGAGAGACAAGAGGATCGTGTTGTATTTATATAAATTATTATATAATTTATTATCCTTTATTTGTTATGGATTAATATTAATCAATAAATTAATTATTTATAATTATCAATTATATTGTATATAATAGATATTTTATAAATAATAACTTAATTTGAGTTTTTAATGAACAGTTTGTTATGGTTTGAATTGTTTAGAATCAGTTATTTATTAAGAGATCTCTGATCTCTGTTGATAGATGTATAAAACTGATATCTCATTAGTCAGTTTGAAGAGATAACGTAACAACATTTTTCACAATACGTTCAATAATAACCTATTAAAAAGAGACCAGTATCATCGTTCAACGATTCCGATACACAATCTTTCTACTCTCTTGAATATATTATATTTATTGTATCTTATATTATGATGTGAATTAATCAATTAGTATCAAAGCTTCAATACCACATTCATCAAGAAATCTAGCGAAAGGTCCTGGATTTCTTCCCGTCTCATTATACCTGCCATAATACTCTCCACCTCTATCAAACTTTGCACATTTTATCTTCTTTCCAGTTACTCAATAGCAGCTTTGAAATACTTAAAAGCATCAAAGGAACTTGACTTTTCTTGTAAGAGATTTATCCGTTCAAATCTAAAATAATCGTCTATAACGTGAACTTGTATCCATCCATGAAGTGGGTGTGATAGGTCCACACATATCAGTATGAATAAGTTGCAACACCTTATCACACTTGTTTACACCTGCATTTCTTACTTTTGCAGTAAGTTTGCCCTTAATGCAATCAACACAAGTATCAAAATCAGAAAAATTCAGATCATGCAGAATACTCTCTTTAATCAACATCTCAATCTAAGGTCTAGAAATATGCCCTAGACGTCTATGCCACAACATAGAGGAACTTTCATCAACTCTACTACGTTTATGTCCAATAACAGAATTAATAGACATGTCATTCAGATTTAGCATGTAAAGCCCATCACATAAAACTCCTAAGCCAACAATAATTGAATTGAAATAAATAGCAAGTTTGTCATTGCCAAATTCAAAAGTGTAGCCACATTTATCCAAAGCTGAAACTAAAATTAAATTTATTTGCATAAAAGGTACATAAACAACATCTTTCAACAACAAAACATGTTCACGAGGTAAATTTAAAGACACTACTCATATGTCTTCAACTTGTGCTCTAGCTCCATCTCCCATGATAACCTTGGATTCAAGGTCACTTGGTTTTCTCAGGTTTGTGAACCCCTGTAAAGAATTCGCAACATGAATAGTGGTACCCGAGTCAAACCACCAAGAATTGGGAGGAACATCAACAACATTTGACTAAAAACAAGCTAGAACATATAAGAGTTTACCTTGCTTATCAACTTTCTTCTTCTTAAGAATATAACAGTCAGCTAACTTCTGCTCAAATTTCTTACAATAGGCACAATTCCCCTTGAAGTACTTATTCTTAGGCTCCCAGTGTACCTCTTTTCATGGCGAGATTTTCCTTTGAAACCCTTTTTAACAGGTGTAGTACCTGAAGTAGTAGCTATTGAGTGTTGTAAGAAGTCTTTAACACATCAAACCGAGAAGGAAGTGATTCAATAACTCTGTTAGATTAAAAACCGTCACCAAGCTCCACCTTTAGAGATTTGAGTTTGTTATAATAGTGCACAAGATTCATCATATGCTCATGAACACCATTGACACCATCTTATTTGGTCTTCTCAAGAAGTGACATATATTGACCCTTTTGACCTTTGTCAAAAGTCTTAAACTTCTCACCTACCGATCTCGGAGAAATCTTAGCATTATCATCATCTGGAATGCTTTGTCGAATAGATTTCTGCATGTTGTATTTCATCATCAAACACACCCTGTTTGAGTGTTCCCATTTCTCACGAGAAGCTCTTTGGATAGCAGTGGACTAAGGAGTAAGAGCTGGAGGCTCGTTCTCTCTCAAACAAAGGTCCATATTAGTAATTGCCAAATACAAATCCAGAGATTCTTTCCAATCCTCAAAATTTGTCTCATTTAAAGTTTTGATTGAAGTCAATTGCATAAGTAAAGAAGCTTGTATCAAAATAATGAAGAAACATTTAATACGCACAATTATTATGCAAATAAATAAAATAAATGTTTCGAATACACAACAAAATATGTCTATAATGCCAAATTTCTCATTCACTATGACCTCCGCCTAAGGGTCTCGAATTATAATAAATAAGAAATATATTTAAAATAAAAAATAAAAATACAAGTGCACATGTCATGTCACAAGAAATCTAATACCGATAGGGTACAAGACAAATAATTGACATAATAAAATTTAAAATTACATTGTACCAAATAAAAAATAAAATACCGATAGGACATAATTAATATTAACGTAATATAAAAATAAATTATTTTATTTTTACAAATTTTTATACAATTGTACCCACGATAGGTGAGTTCACAATCATATAAAATTATATCATGCTTAACAAAAAAAATTATATGATGCATGATTTAATAATAATAATAATAATTATTATTATTATTATTATTTATTTTTATTATTTGTTTTAATAATACTTGGTTGTTTCATGTTGTCCCGAGAAAAAAATCCAGCTCTAAAATGTAAAACTCAATTCTCTTCGTCTTTTTATTATGGTTCAAATTAAGAAAAACATAATAATATACCATTTGTTTTTATATTTATCTTTTCCTATTAATATATATATATATATATATATATATATATAACTTTATAGAAATAAAATAATATATTATTTGAACTCAACATTGAATTTTCGACGTAAGTGACAGAATGATCAACGCTCAACCCTAATACTCTTTCACGCAACTCGAACAAAACACAACGTGCAAAACCACGTCCATGGAACCGCACATGCACGAATGCAACGAATCACCAATGACATCATTGGCGATGAAAAACGAAGGTCATTTAGTTGCTAAAAACGTGCATTGCCGATCATCACTGCGACATCGCTACTGTCAACCAGCTCAATATAGTATGTTCGGTACTCCACAGCAAAATGGTATTGTAGAAAGGAGGAATTACACTTTTCTAGATATGGTGAGATGTATGTTGAGTCATTCCTCTTTACCGAATTTCCTTTGGGGAGATACTTTAAGGACTATTGTGTATATTCTTAATCAAGTACCTAGCAAGTCTATTTCAAAGACTCCATATGAACTTATGACTGGGAAGAAGTCAAGTTTAAGATACTTTCATATGTGGGGTTGTAAGATAGAAGTGCGACCTTATAATCCTCAGTTGAAAAAAATTGATCTTAAGAATGTTAGTGGATTCTTCATTGGCTATTGTGTCGGTTCTCGTGGTAGCAGATTTTACTGCCCTTCTCACTTCATGCCGGTTATTGAGTCTGATCGTGCGATATTCTTTGAGGATGATTTGGACAGTGGGAGTAATGCACCACAACTAGTCACTCTTAGAGAAGATCGTGTTGTTGTTCCCGTACCATCCATTTCTTTTCCTGCAGATAATGTGATTCCAATTGTCCGTGACGAAAATGATTCTGTTCCAGATTTTGTTGATGCTACATCACCTGTAGTAAATGAACAAGTTCATGATGATGTTGTTGAAGATGTTCCTTTGAGGAGATCTCGAAGATTACGCAAGTCTTCTATACCTGATGATTATCAGGTGTATCTTCAAAAGCATGAATATAGTCTTAATGATGTTAACGATCCTACTACTTTTAGAGAGGCTATCTCTAGTTCTCATGGTTCTGATTGGTTAAATGATATGCATGATGAGTTAGCTTATATGGCCCATAATGAAGTTTGGGATCTTGTGGATTTTCCACTCGATTGTAAACCAATTGGGTGTAAA